AGCGGGACAAAGAATCGTTATCTGGATTGGACACAGAATTGTTACTCAGGGAACAGAACACAGAAATTGTTCCTCAGTGACACAGAATTGTTACTCAGGGGACACGAGAATTGTTACTGAGGGACAAAGAATCGTTACTGAGGGACACAGAATTGTTACTCAGGACAGACACAGAATTGGTTTACTCACTCAGGGACACAGAATTTACTCAGGGACACACAGAATTGTTACTGACAAAGAATCGTTACACACAGAATTGTTACTCCGGGACACAGAATTGTTACTCAGGGATACAGAATCGTTACTCATGGACACAGAATTGTTACTCAGAGGGACACAGAATCGTTACGAGGGTTACAGAATCGTTACATCACATGGACACAGAATTGTTTACTCAGGGACACAGAATTTTTACTCACGTGACACAGAATTGTTACTTTCAGGGACAACACAGAATTGTTACTCAGGACACAGAATTGGTTACTCCAGGACACAGAAATTGTTACTGAGGGGCACAGAATCGTTACTCATGGACACAGAATTTTTACTCAGGGACACAGAATTGTTACTGAGGGACACAGAATCGTTACTCAGGGACACAGAATCGTTACTGAGGGACACAGAATTGTTACTCAGGGACACAGAATCGTTACTCAGGACACAGAAATTGTTACTGAGGGACACAGAATCGTTACTGAGGGACACAGAATTTGTTACTCAGGGACACAGAATTGTTTACTGAGGGACACAGAATCGTTACTCAGGGACACAGAATAGTTTACTCAGGGACACAGACATTGTTACTCAGGGACAGACACAGAATTGTTACTCAGGGACACAGAATTGTTACTCAGGGACACAGAATTGTTACTGAGGGACAAAGAATCGTTACTGAGGGACACAGAATTGTTACACTCAGGGACACAGAATCGTTACTCAGGGACACAGAATCGTTACTGAGGGACACAGAATCGTTACTGAGGGATACAGAATCGTTACTCATGGACACAGAATTGTTACTCAGGGACACAGAATTGTTTACTCCACGGACACAGAATTGTTACTCAGTGACAGACACAGAATTGTTACTCAGGGACACACAGAACTGTTTTACTGAGGGACACAGAATCGTTTTACTCAGGGACACGGAATCGTTACTGAGGGACACAGAATTCTTTACTCAGGGACACAGAATCGTTTACTGAGGGACACAGAATCGTTACTGAGGGAAACAGAATTGTTACTCAGGACACAGAATCGTTACTCAGGGACACAGAATTGTTACTGAGGGACACAGAATCGTTACTCAGGGACACAGAATCGTTACTCAGGGACACAGAATTGTTTACTCAGGGACACAGAATCGTTACTGAGGGACACAGAATTGTTACTCAGGGACACAGAATCGTTACTGAGGGACACAGAATCGTTACTCAGGGACACAGAATCGTTACTCAGGGACACAGAAATCGTTACTCAGGGACACAGAATTGTTACTAAGGGACCCGTACAGAAATCGTTACTAGCAGGGACACAAGAAATCGTTGAATTAAAGAGTATGTCAGACAACACGCAGAGGAGTGGCAGAGGAGGCAATGTTTCAGGAGCGAGCAGACGTGGCAGCAGAGGAAGGGTCGAGGCAGCACTAGTCGCAGCCAGAGTTCCGGTGCTCCCAGTGTCATCCAGCGGTCGTGTCTCCACCCGACAACCCCCTGCCGTCATCCGATTGTGTTGGCTCGGTCGTCTTCCTCTTCCCAGGTCACACCTTCTGACACCTACAGCCAACGGTCGGTGGGTACGTCAGACACAACCGTTATTGGCATGGCCCGGGAGCAAGTCCCACTGAAATCACGTGTCCTCTACCTGCCCCTCTCCTTTGGTGTTCCCTCACCAAGCGAAGTATCGCATGCTGTGGGCTCAGCCCCACAGTAAGCAGTGAGGAAGAGCTAACAGAGGGCGGTCAGGAACGGGGGGAGACATCCGCCTCTTCAGCAGCCAGGCGAAGAAGTACTGGCGAGGAGAGTGGCTCGGTAGCCGGTCTAGAGACAGGTCTGTCTCCTGACCCACACACAGCCGAGGGGGCTAGTAGTGACGCGGAGACCCTAATTGATGATGATGAGGCTGATCGCACTTGGCAGCCTCGTCGTCATCAGGCTAATTGCTTCCGCATCATCAGGAGAAGAGGGTGCCAGCTTGCCAGCAAGCAAAACAGTCGGTGGGTTGCCCAGGAGGCAGCAGGGTCGCAGCAGTGTCAGTGGAGGCAAACGGCCCACGGAGTAGAGCACCAGCTCCACTGCAGCCTACCACCACCACGGCCAGTAGTGGTGCCGGTGTGCACGGAGGAAGTAGCAGTCAGCACAGTGAGGAGTAGCGGGGGCAAAGTTTCCCTACTCGGCGGTGTGGCAATTTTTCGTCAAGCCCGCCCGAGGAAGTAAACGTAGCCGTATGTCGACTATGTGGCCAGAAAGTCAAGCGTGGCCAGGGGGCCCAATGTTGGGACTACAAAGCGTTGCGTCAGCATATGCAGCGTCGCCATTCGGTGGCCTGGGAAAACCGTGATAAAGATACGGTGCGGTTTGTGCCTGCCCCAGCCCCCTCTGCCTGCCCCCACCCCCCCCCCCGCTCCATCACCCCCGCTCCCCGCCCCCACCCCCCCGCTTACTTTCTCCGTCACCCCGACGTCAATCGCCCTCTATCAGCCAGTCAAGGCTCCAACACCTCTGCTGAGGGAGTTGTCCTCTCGTTGGCATCTTCCGCTCGTTCAGATGCTCCTTCTCCTGCTACTCCTCTTCACGGATTCCGTCAGCAGTCTTTCTTGGGAATCCGTTTTCCAAGAGACAACAGTTTGCGAGCACGCACCCGACGGTGCAGAAGCTGAACGTCCTCCTGTCCAAGTTGCTGGTGCTGCAGTCCCTCCCTTTCCAAGTGGTGGACTCAGCACCTTTCCGAGAAATGATGGCTTGTGCCGCGCTGCGGTGGAGAGTGCCAAGCCGGCATTTTCTTCGCCAAAAAGGCAGTGCCATCCCTGCATTCACATGTAGAAGAGATGGTGGGCCAGTCTTTGAGCATTGTCGGTCTCTGCCAAAGTGCACGGCAGCGCCGATGTGTGGAGCTGTTAACTACGGTCAGGGACAGTACATGTCATTTACGGCCCACTGGGTGAACGTGGTGCCGGCACAGCCGCACCAGCAACTTGGACAGGTCACGCCGCTTTTTTGCCTCCACGTTTGCACGTCCTTGGTCCAGCAAACATGTCCGCCTCTACCACCTCTTCTTCCGCCGTGTCCTCAGCCGCCACCCCCGTGCCAAGTCCCATTACCCGACCGGCATATCACATGTGCAGGGCGCAACGGTGTCACGCTGTGCTGCACCTGGTATGCCTTGGCGAACGTAGTCACACAGGGGAGGAACTTCTGAGTGTAATGAACAGAGAAATTGACAGATGGCTGTCTCCGCGCAAACTGAAAATCGGAACCATGTTGACCGACAACGGAAAGAACATGGTGTCTGCTCTGCATCAAGGAAGGGTTGTGCCATGCGCCATGCATGGCTCACATGTTCAATCTGGTTGTCAAGCGGTTCCTAAAATCCACCATCCCACTGCAAGACATCCTTAAAATGTCACGTAAACTTTGCATGCATTTCAGCCATTCCTACACCGCAAAGCACACCCTCCTTGAGCTGCAGCGGCAGAACGGATTCCACAGCATCGCCTGATCTGCGACGTTTCAACAAGGTGGAATTCAACCCTACATATGTTAGACCGCCTTTACGAACAGCGAAAGGCCATCACCGATTTCCTGATGTTACAAGCGGATAAAGGTACTCCCCCTGTGTAACTTAGATGTCAGCCATTGGCAGCTCATGCGTGACACCTGCCGCTTGCTCAGGCCCTTTGAGGAGGCCACGCTATTCGTGAGTCGGCAGGACTATGGGATGAACGACGTCATTCCTCTGTTGCACGTCCTGGAACAAATGCGTTAACAATGGCTGGTCAGGGTGCGGTAGACGTGGCGCACAGATCTCAACGCCACATGACCCCTGTGGGGGCAGACAGGAAGAAGAGGAGGAGGTAGAGGAGGACATTGGTGCTCAGGAAATTATTGAGTGAAATGGGTGGTTTTTTCCACTCAGCGGACAGGAGTGGAGGAGCAGGAGCATCTGGTAGAGGAGGAGGAGGAGACAGAGGACCCAGTTGCACCGTGGCAGTATGCTGTGGAGATGGAGGCAGGGAGTCCTTCGCATTCCTTGGCACAAATGGCCCATAGCATGCTCGGTTTGCTTGCGTAGTGACAGCCGAATAATAACCATCAGACAGAGGGATGACTTTTGGCTGTCCACCTTGTTGGACCCTCGCTACCGTTCAAAAATGGTGGCCTTTTTCACACACTGCTGAGAGGGAGGCCAAAATAACGTACTGTAAAAACCACCTATGTAGTCAGTTGGTCTCTGCCTTTCTGCGCCAACGTCCATCCTCAGACACTGTGGGCCCTGTGCGCTCGCGTTCCCTGCTGCCATGGCAGCAGGAGAGGGGTGGGGTGGTAGGAGCAGTGGCAGCTCCACCAGCAGCGGCTGCCGTCAGTCTGCAGTCGATGATGAGTAGCTTTCTTCACCAGCGCAGTGAGGAAACTACTAACCAGCCGCAGCAGCAGCAGCAGCATCAGGTGACCTGGAGCAGGACCTCAAACAACAGGCTTGGGCCTACTTGGACAGCACCCTGCCAACCAAGGTAGACAATCCCCTTGACTACTGGGCAACGAAACTTGACCTTTGGCCCCAACTAGCTGAATTTGCCCTTGAAAGGCTGTCATGCCCAGGCCAGTAGCGTGGCATCGGAGCGCGTGTTTAGTGCGGCAGGAGGTATTGTAACTCCGCGGAGGACACGACTGTCCACCCAAAGATGTGTGGAGAGACTCACGTTTGTGAAAATGAATCAGGCGTGGATTAGTCTGGATTTCAAACCACCAGTTCCTGACACAACTGACTAAATCCGCCATGAATCATGCCCCAAACATGTTATTATTTTTAACATAGGCCTCTGTATGGCCTTCAATTTAAGCTGCTTACGCTTCGCCACTCTGCCATGGGCCCCTGTACCGCCTCCTCTTGCTGCTGCCAGGTCCAGAGTGTGTCATGGGTCCCTGTACGGCCTCCCATTGCTGCTGTCTCCATCGCCACACTCTGCCATGTGCCACTTTCAGGTCTCCTCACACTGCATGGTGGGTTCCATTTTGTCATAGGGTGCTGGCAGATTACGGGCCTCCCATTGCTGCTGCCAGGCCCGTAATCTGCCATGGGCCCCCGTACCGACTCCTCATGCTGCTGCCAGGCCCGTAATCTGTCATGGGCCCCTGTACCGCCTCCTCATGCTGCTGCCAGGTCCCGAGTGTGTCATGGGTCCCTGTACGGCCTCCCATTGCTGCTGTCTCCATCGCCACACTCTGCCATGTGCCACTTTCAGGTCTCCTCACACTGCTGGTGGGTTCCATTTTGTCATAGGGTGCTGGCAGATTACGGGCCTCCCATTGCTGCTGCCAGGCCCGTAATCTGCCATGGGCCCCCCGTACCGACTCCATCATGCTGCTGCCAGGCCCGTAATCTGTCATGGGCCCCTGTACCGCCTCCTCATGCTGCTGCCAGGTCCAGAGTGTGTCATGGGTCCCTGTACGGCCTCCCATTGCTGCTGCCAGGCCCGTAATATGCCATGGGCCCCCGTACCGACTCCTCATGCTGCTGCCAGGCCCGTAATCTGTCATGGGCCCCTGTACCGCCTCCTCATGCTGCTGCCAGGTCCAGAGTGTGTCATGGGTCCCTGTATGGCCTCCCATTGCTGCTGTCTCCATCGCCACACTCTGCCATGTGCCACTTTCAGGTCTCCTCACACTGCTGGTGGGTTCCATTTTGTCATAGGGTGCTGGCAGATTTACGGGCCTCCCATTGCTGCTGCCAGGCCCGTAATCTGCCATGGGCCCCCGTACCGACTCCTCATGCTGCTGCCAGGCCCGTAATCTGTCATGGGCCCCTGTACCGCCTCCTCATGCTGCTGCCAGGTCCAGAGTGTGGTCATGGGTCCCTGTACGGCCTCCCATTGCTGCTGTCTCCATCGCCACACTCTGCCATGTGCCACTTTCAGGTCTCCTCACACTGCTGGTGGGTTCCATTTTGTCATAGGGTGCTGGCAGATTACGGGCCTCCCATTGCTGCTGCCAGGCCCGTAATCTGCCATGGGCCCCCGTACCGACTCCTCATGCTGCTGCCAGGCCCGTAATCTTGTCATGGGCCCCTGTACCGCCTCCTCATGCTGCTGCCAGGGTCCAGAGTGTGTGTCATGGGTCCCTGTACGGCCTCCCATTGCTGCTGTCTCCATCGCCACACTCTGCCATGTGCCACTTTCAGGTCTCCTCACACTGCTGGTGGGTTCCATTTTGTCATAGGGTGCTGGCAGATTACGGGCCTCCCATTGCTGCTGCCAGGCCCGTAATCTGCCATGGGCCCCCGTACCGACTCCTCATGCTGCTGCCAGGCCCGTAATCTGTCATGGGCCCCCTGTACCGCCTCCTCATGCTGCTGTCAGGTCCAGAGTGTGTCATGGTCCCTGTACGGCCTCCCATTGCTGCTGCCAGGCCCGTAATCTGCCATGGGCCCCCGTACCGACTCCTCATGCTGCTGCCAGGCCCGTAATCTGTCATGGGGCCCCTGTACCGCCTCCTCATGCTGCTGCCAGGTCCAGAGTGTGTCATGGGTCCCTGTACGGCCTCCCATTGCTGCTGTCTCCATCGCCACACTCTGCCAATGTGCCACTTTCAGGTCTCCTCACACTGCTGGTGGGTTCCATTTTGTCATAGGGTGCTGTATGGCCTCCCATTGCTGCTGCCAGGCCCGTAATCTGTCATGGGCCCCTGTACCCGCCTCCTCATGCTGCTGCCAGGTCCAGAGTGTGTCATGGGTCCCTGTACGGCCTCCCATTGCTGCTGCCAGGCCCCCGTAATCTGCCATGGGCCCCCGTACCGACTCCTCATGCTGCTGCCCAGGCCCGTAATCTGTCATGGGCCCCTGTACCGCCTCCTCATGCTGCTGCCAGGTCCAGAGTGTGTCATGGGTCCCTGTACGGCCTCCCATTGCTGCTGTCTCCATCGCCACACTCTGCCATGTGCCACTTTCCAGGTCTCCTCACACTGCTGTGTGGGTTCCATTTTGTCATAGGGTGCTGTATGGCCTCCCATTGCTGCTGCCAGGCCCGTAATCTGCCATGGGGGCCCCCGTACCGACACCTCATGCTGCTGCCAGGCCCGTAATCTGTCATGGGCCCCTGTACCGCCTCCTCATGCTGCTGCTAGGTCCAGAGTGTGTCATGGGTCCCTGTACGGCCTCCCATTGCTGCTGTCTCCATCGCCACACTCTGCCATGTGCCACTTTCAGGTCTCCTCACACTGCTGGTGGTTTTCCATTTTTGTCATAGGGTGCTGTATGGCCTCCCATTGCTGCTGCCTCCACCGCCACACTGTGGCTCCACACTCTGGTTTTGGCCCCGTGACTGCCCAAATGAGTGAAGTGTGCGGTGATTCTAAGATCGACGGCACTACATCTGCATGTCATACTGACTGACAGTATTATTTCTCTTCCCCAGCAGACTCCAAGGGCATTTAAATTAAAGGTACAGTGTTCTGCACTAATATAAAGGCTCTCTGAAGCCTAGAAACACCCTTTTTATAAGTTAAATTCGCAGCGAATATATTCGACTCGAATCGAATTTATTCCGCGAATTCGCCGAATCAGCCGAATCGAATTTTTGAATAATTCGCTCATCTCTATATACCACGTCCACCGCCACCCCTCTGTCCATGTATACCACATCCACCGCCACCCCTCTGTCCAAGTATACCACATCCACCGCCACCCCTCTTTCCAAGTATACCACGTCCACTGCCACCCCTCTGTCCAAGTATACCACGTCCACCACCCACCCCTCTGTCCGTATATACCACGTCCACCGCCACCCCTCTGTCCAAGTATACCACATCCACTGCCACCCCTCTTTCCAAGTATACCACATCCACCGCCACCCTTCTGTCCAAGTATGCCACGTCCACCGCCAACCCTCTGTCCATATATACCACGTCCACCGCCACCCCTCTGTCCAAGTATACCACGTCCACAGCCACCGCTCTGTCCAAGTATAGCACGTCCACAGCCACCCCTCTGTCCAAGTATACCATGTCCACAGCCACCCCTCTGTCCAAGTACACCATGTCCACCACCACAACTTTGTCCAAGTATACCACCACCACACCTCTGTCCAAGTATACCACGTCCACCGCCACCCCTCTGTCCAAGTATACCATGTCCACAGCCACCCCTGTGTCCAAGTATACCACGTCCACCACCACCCCTCCGTCCAAGTATATCACGTCCACAGCCACCCCTCTGTCCAGGTTTTGCTCACCTCCTCATAAAAAAAAATCAGATTTGTTTGACAACTTCTGTCTTTCATGAATCCATGCTGCCTGTTGCTTAAAATATTTTTTTTCCAGCAAGAACTCATCTATGTGGTCTTTTTATATAAACTCTCCAGTATCTTCCCAACTAAAGAAGTTAAACTAACAAGTCTATAATTACTTGGTAAAGATTTTGACCCCTTTTTTAAATATTGGCACCACATTGGCCTTACGCCAATCCAGTGGTACTATGCCAGTCATTAAAGAGTCCCTAAAAATTAGAAACAATGGCTTTGAAATTACAGAACTCAATTCTTTAAGGACCCGTGGGTGTATGCCATCCGGCTCACGGGT